AATTAAATAATGCACCAAAGAACATAGAATAATAACATGCAAAAAGCAGACAATTTCCTTTAACAATCACAATTTTCTGGCTTTCTAACCATGCGAAAAGAGCCTTTACAAATTCATCCAAGCTAGTCGTTAACTTTCCCATGAGAACAAAACCTGTTCTGCAAGTGAAATTGACAATTATCTGTTTAGAACACAACATAGTATAATATGTCATTTGATAGATTAAAACCTTCGCTTTCTATTGGTTATAGATAATATATAATTAAACATAAGAGAGAACTATTAACAAGTCCCGAAAGAGAGGATGTGACAGGTGGGTGTGGCAGGAGGGGGTCTGATTTTCTATTTGATATCTTTGTAACTAAACAGAATTGAAGGCTATAAAAAATTATGGTTTGTTTGAGCAATGATGATTTTATAGAGTAATTTATGTTTAGTTTCATAGTTACTGGAGGGGTGGTGGATAAAATAGAGAAGAGAAGATACCAAGAGAAAATGTGTCACGTATGTCACACTAGGGGAAATTCGAGATTTTTAAAAATATTGCCTTATAGAATTAAGAACTTAAAACTTATGTACTATTAATATATGGATTATTAGCTAAGATTTTATGCTATAGTAATTGGTATAACATAAATAAAAACTGGTTTGATAAAATTTTGAATGTAAGACACTAAAACCTTGTGTCATGCACAGTAAAGGATACCCGTGGCGATAGGGTTAAAGCAATGCTACTGGCATAACTTGGTCTCTACTAATTGCATATGTCTGGGGGCTTTTCCACATTTATCTGATTTTTACTGGTGTTTTTATATATGTTTTAATTATTAACTGAAGTAGCAAGAAACAAATCTGCCATTAATTATTCCTCTCATTCCATCCTTACATGAGGTGTTTATAAAAATGTCCAAGGTTATAATCAGCTCTATGCTTGCTGTTGTAAAGTCGAAGTGTTTACAAACATACAACACATTTATGAACTAGAAATATGTTTATAACTTTATTGCTTCCTTCTTTTTTTGGATATCTACTGAAGAAATGTTTATATTCAAAAAGTGAAAAAGGTTTATAACATTTATAGACTGTAAATGGTTTTATTGCATGATCTTCACACCTATTCAACAAATGATATACACAATTAGCAAATTTTAAAATTTTCAGTGAATGTCAGATTTCTTGAAGAGAAGAAATTATTAGTGTTCAATGCACGTTTGTGGTAATATATATTGTGGGAGTGTATTCTAACTATTTTAAATGTTTGTCTGTAAACTTTTTCTTTAGTTTTTTAATTAAAGTTATTTGCATTACTTGTAATGTTTTAGCATGCTAAACACATTTCTTCAAAATCGTTGTTGTTGTTCAAAACATAAAACTTCATATAATGTTTAAAAAGCAACGTATTGAATCTTAATTTTCAATGTGCAGGTTCGACTGGTTTTGGCAGCTGTTTTGTCTCCTTGTTTGATTACTGCAGGAATTTGGCTTTTCAGGAACTATTATGTTTCAGGGAATCTAATATACAGAACAGTGGGTGCTGATCTTGCTCTTCAGAACATGTGTCAAAACTTGTTTTTGTGCTCAACTCTTTTAAAGTTTGATTTACAACTGGAGGTAAGTCAAGCATTATTAGTACCACTATATTGCCACAAATGAATTTTACTACATTATGAATGTATAATATACCATAAATTCTTCATTTACACTTTTTTTATAGTTTATTATTTATGTGTTTCTTCTCCATGTTGACCACAGATTGGTTACTATTGCACTGTATGTTGTAGGTACATTTTAAAATCAAGGAACTACATATATAATCTTTGTACAAATTCTAATATGGTACTTTACCTCCACTCACGTAAATAGCTATCCTTGTTCAGTGCTGCACTCTATATGCAAAATTGTTTTTCAGCATGTCACAAGCTTAAGCTCCCACATGTCTTACAGTGGATTGATTCAACTGCATCTCGCATGCAAATTATTGTGACAGCCCTCCACCAATAAGTATGTGACCTGAATGTTAACTGTTTTTTTCCTGTTTCCATTAGTAAATCATAGTTAAAATTTGAAGCTTAGCTCTCTAAATGTAAACCACAAGCATGCATATCATGTTGAAATAATAATGTAAAACAAGATTGAAAATGTATTTACGATAGAATATTATAATAATGCAGACATTTTATGTATTTAGAAGTATTTGGTTAGTCTTTGTGTGCACTGCAGTTAACAACTTTATTAATTTTTTAGGGTAGCATGATAATATTAGTATTAAAGAATGGAGCTGTCACCACTGACACTTTCGAGAGAGTTGTATTAGGAGTAGGAGTTTTCTTCTCTGTTATATGGATCATCCTGGGATTTTTAGCAGTAAGGATTTTATTCTGTTTCTATATATTCATTCAAACATAATCTGGCCAAAAAACAATCATTTTGGCTATAACTTCAAAAATTAAACTTTGTTTAAAATATTATATCATGAAAATAAATATGGATGGATGTTGAGCAAATTGTAATCACAAATATTACTTAGTGTTGCTTTCAGAGTATCTTTATACTACATTACAGTTTGCCCCTGAAGAAGAAAGGTCCACCTTTCGGAAAAGCTCAGGTTATAGGGTTTTTATTCATTTCTATCTAGACTTCTTGATATTACATTATTGTTTTCATTGTATTAAATAACAATCAGGAAGAACATAGGCGTAGAAAGAAAGAGTCAGTTCTCTATGTAAGAAGTGAAGAATATATCCTGGATATAAGTGGTATTTTCTAATCAGTTAACCAACAACCCATTAAACAAGTAATACAGTTTTTCTCAAACCATAGTACATACAAGCAAATAAAATTGGTGGTCATTTGCTTTCCCTATATTCAATATTTCAAAATTATTGACAGTGGGAGACAGCCTTAGTAGCAATTTCTTATAAAACATTATACAAATTAACTTCAGAATAATTGTTTTTATATTATGAATGTTTAAAAAAATTCAAACTGAGCATTTTCTACAATCTAAATCCAGACATTTTAACTAGTAAACAAAGCTGTTATTACATTATGGGAAATATAAGTACCAAAGAAAAGGCTAGAATAAGTAATTAATAACAATGTGTAGAGTTTGATAGAGATAAGTATACAATTTATTGATTGTTATTAAAATCTGAAATAATTCATTATTTTTACCAAAATTACTTGGGGGTTTCATACTTTTAGGTTTCAGGGCTTATTATTATGATAAATACAGCTAGTCTTAAAGGGCCAATATTAGGCCTAGCAGTGTGGAGATGTATATTTTCACATTTTATGTCCCCTGTGGATCAGTGGTAAGTCTGAGGGCATATAATGCTAAAAAATGGGGTTTCAATACCTGTGGCAGGCAGAGCACAGCTAGCCCATTATGAATAAATAAACTAAAAAACATTTTTGCATTTTTAGTTTTACTGGATGACAGTTACTTTAAAACGAGACCCAAAACTCGAGCGCTTTCGAATAGTTGACTATTCTCCTTTATTCTCATGAAGAAGAGTAGTCAACTAATCGAAACCGCTCGAGTTTTGGGTCTCGTTTTGAAAATACTACAACTTTTGTAGGTGATCATGTGTGCTAACTACTTAACCTGGAGTTACTTTAAAAAATAGACCTACTAAATATTTGTTAATTTTTTTTTAAATGTTTGACGTATAATAAATATCTTATTATTTATCATAATATTATTATAATGTTTAATATATAACATAATATATAAATTAGAAAAGGTGGGAATTTTGGTTTGGTAAATTTCCCTTGTCATCTGAAAAGTGTCAACAACAGATGCAACTTGTATTCGGTTGAATTGGGCATTATTACTGGAAGAACCTTGATGGGGTTATTGGGGGTGGAGAGCCTGTGCAAAGGCTGTTGCCATGATAGTACCAAAAGCATTTATTCTCTTTTCACGTGTACATAGAAGCCTAACATATCATACTGTTTAAAGAATTTCCCTCTTATCCATCTGTCTTTAGATAACATGTATAAGATCAGTTATATTTCCTCGTGTCTAACCAATTCAAATATCTTTGTTCGGAAAGTGCTTCCTCACCAAGCAATGCTTACTTTTGGAGGGTTTCCTATGGTAGCTACCAGCCCTTCTTTGTAACTCAGCTGAGAGGGAATCCCCAGAAGGATTATTTAAACCTTATCAATATACAAGTTAGCTGGTTAGATCATTTTGTTAATTTCACAAAAGTTTTTATTTACACAGTCAGTTTTTATCCCTTCCCCCCACTCTGAAAAAAGTTTGAGGGGGTATGTCCGTCAAGTCAATCTATAGACATTTATTTACTTTCTACATAGGAGATCAACAATTATAGTGATGGCTATTTTAAATATATGTTTTTATTTCATTGTGTAGTAAATGTATGACATTTTTTCATTACTAGATGCGTTTTGAACAAAAAGTGATGGTCTGGATCTTCCTGGGAACAAGCTTTTTTGAACCTGCATATGTTTTATATGAAATGATAAAAGTGAGTTATAAAATTTCAGACTTATCATTTTTGAAGTTTTTTAATACATAACCTACTGATTCTATGTTTTATGTGCCACAAACATCACAGATTATATACATGTGGATAGTTAGTCTCACTTTATCAGAACAATTTACACTGTAAACAAGACCCATGGTGCTACAGGCAACACGTATAGCAATGGTGTATTTTCAGTGTTATCCCGTTTACCGGTGGTAAACCAGCCGTGAGAGAATAAAACAAAATATAGTGTTTTAGACAATATAAAAAATATTTGAATCTCATCCATTACTAGCACAAATATAATTACTGCAGTTTTTAGAAAGCAGTGACACAAGATGTTATTTACATGAGATATTTACAAAGCTTTGTACTGTATTTACAGCTTCTTCAGGAGTGTTCCACGAAAATACAAACCATAACTAATAGTAACTTTTCAGTAAAGCTGTAAATTTATACAATAATTTAAAAAATCTTATCTTTTGTTAAAGAATGACATTCTGCTTTGTTGTAAATGTACTTTTAGACTTATGATTATATTTTCAGTTTTGTTTTCTGACATTGTATTGTCACTGACTTCTTTATTTATACTTTGGTTCAGGCACACACCAGTAAGGAGCTGGATACAAACTTAAGAAATTGTATTTATCTGTGTGGAAGTTTTGCATTGGTGGTAAGAGTAGCTGTGTTTGTTTACATGATACTTGTTATGAAGAACTTTGGACAGGGTCTAAGACAAAAAGGTAAAGAATATTCATTTTTATTTGGATAATAGAACAGCAAAATATATATTGCTGTAATGAGGTAAAAATAAGTATGTTTCAAATCTTTAGTGAAATAGTAAAACTAAATCAAATTACTTCTTATCTTCTAATAAAAAATTCAAACAGTATTAAATTATACATTAGCCATCTATCTTAACAACAACTTTACGAGTTAGGCTTGGAACTAAAATATATTTCATAAATGGTCTTGAAAATATTAACCAAAGATAGCTAGAAACAAGCATAAACATAACTGAGAACAGAAACTGGCTGGTGCTAAATATAGGAAAGCACAAACTGTTTTATGATACAAAAAGTTTAAATCAATAATATTTGTATGCTGAAGTTTTATAATTGTTTTAGCAACTAAAAGTTATATGTATCTACCATATCCTTTATTGTATGGCTCTGTCATAGCTTTAGAAAACTGTTGGCATACAATATGCATCAAATCTTGTTGGCCACTGCTTACATGTATGTTGTAATCTGGTCTTTTGGTGCCTGAAGTGACCTTTACATTGTGTATGTATAATTATAAATGAAAGATGGTATA